TATTTTGTTTCCTGAATTCCACATGTGAATGAAATCATGGTACTTGTCTTTCTCTGATTATTTCACTTAGCATTATGCCTTTTAAGACCATCCATGTTGCAAATGGCAAGATCTTGTTCTTTTTATGGCTGAGTAACATACCATTGTGTATATATACCACATCTTTATTCATTCATCTGTGGATGGACATTTGGGTTATTTCCATAACTTGGCTATTAAGTCCATCCATGTTGCATATGGCAAGATCTTGTTCTTTTTATGGCTGAGTAACATTCCATTGTGTATATATACCACATTTTTATTCATTCATCTGTGGATGGACATTTGGGTTATTTCCATAACTTTGCTATTATAAATAATGCTGCAATAAACATAGGAGTAAATATATCTATTTATTTATATCTGTCTATCTCTTTTCAAATTAGTGTTTTCATTTTCTTTGGTTAAATACCCAGTAGTGGAGTTTTTGGGTGATTCTATTTTTAACTTTTTGAGGAACTCCATATTTCTTTCCACAAATGAAAACCATACCAGATAGCGTTCTCACCAGTGATACATGAAGGTTCCTTTTCTTCTACATCCTTGCCAATGCTTATTTCTTGTGTTTTTGATTTTAGCCATTCTGACAAGTGTGAGGTGATATCTCATTGTATTTTTTTTAGACTTTATTAATGAGAGAAAAAGAGAGAGAGAGAGAGACAGAGGCAGGGGGAGAAGCAGGCTCCCTTTGGAGAGCCTGATGCGGTACTTGATCCCAGGACCCCAAGGATAATGACCTGAGCCAAAGGCAGATGCTCAATGACTGTGCCACCCAGGTGCCCCTCTCATTGTAGTTTTGATTTACATTTCCCTGATGATGATGATAAGCATATTTTCACTTGTCTGTTGACCATCTGGATGTCTTCTTTGAAAAAAATGTCTATTTTTGGCTTCTGACCATTTTTAAATTGGATTATTTGCAGGGTTTTGGTGGTGAGTTGTGTAAGTTCTTTAAATAATTTCTATATTAACCCCTTATTGGATATATCACTTGCAAATCTCTTCTTTCATTCAGTAGGTTGTCTTTTTTGTTTTGTTGTGCAAAAGTTTTTTCTTTTGACAAATAAAAATTGTTTAATTTTGCTTTTGTTTCCCCTGCCAAAGGAGGCATATCTAGAAAAATATTTTTAAGGCTGATGTCATAGGGATTATTGCCTATGCTCTCTTCTAGAAATTTTCGGGCTTCAGGTCTCACATTTAAGTCTTTAATCCATTTTGAATTTATTTTTGTGTATAATATAAGCAAGTGTGAACCATAAAATTTTTCATAGTTGTTTTTCTGTTTTCTCCTCATCTTTGTCATACTCTTTTTGTTCTGCCTTTATGTGTCTTTATTATCTGTTGTCCTTCTCTCATCTGTGTCTCTGCTTGGCTCCCCATTTCCACCCATCTCTGCTCTTGTTCTGTCTTTTTGGCATTTCTTCCTATGGCTACGTAGAACTGGAAAACATTTTGAAGATTTTATTGTATCTTTTTATGAAATCTTTTTATAAAGATTTCTACTTCCTGGGCAGCTCCGGTGGCGCAGCGGTTTAGCGCCGACTGCAGCCTGGGGTGTGGTCCTGGAGACCTGGGATCCAGTCCCACATCTGGCTCCCTGCATGGAGCCTGCTTCTCCCTCTGCCTGTGTCTCTGCCTCCCTCTCTCTCTCTCTCTCTCTTTCTGAATAAATAAATAAAATCTTTAAAAATAAATAAAAAAAGATTTCTGCTTCCTATGTTTGAGCTAAAAGCACGTGAATTGATTATTTTACATTTTTACTCTTTGTAATCCTTTATTGATTTTGGCCATCTTAAATTCAGGAGTCCTCCAGAGAAGAAATGTTGCCCATTTCAAATATGGCCACTCAAGACCACCTGAGTATCTGTGGGCCTGTCCTTTTCCAATTGTTCTTGGTTCCAAGAGTTTACCCTGGCTTAGAGTGCAAAGTATTGTCCATCCAGCATCTGAAAAATCAATTCCAGAGTTAGACATTTAGATTGTAATACTTTAGAATTTGAGTAGGACTTTTGGTACTATTTAATCTTAAAGATGAGAAAACTGTGGAGCAGAGAGGTCATACAAACTACTCAAAGCTGTGTAGTCTTTAATATTTTTCTTCTTCCATATATCATAGGAAAGGGCTATATGAATTTTTATATTTTTTGATACAACATCTTGATATTAAGACTTGAAATAGCCTTTTAAAGGCGGTACAGTGTTGTTTTTTTTTTTTAAATATTTTATTTTATTTATTTGAGACAGCATGAATGCGGAGAGAAGGGCAGAGGGAGAGGAAGAGCAAGAACCTGACTCCCCACTGAGCAGTGAACCCACTGTGGAGCTTGATCCCAGAACGCCCTGTGGGGCTCAATGCCTGAGATCATGACCTGGGCCGAAGGCAGACACATAAGTGACTGAGCCACCCAGGCGCCTAAGGGCAGCACAATTTAAATAGTGGTTCCCATTAATATTTCCATCAGACTAGTGGAAGTCTCCTTACGTCTTTTGCTGTTGGAAGGAGTGGTGTTACACAGGGCATAGTGACAGAACTGATCATGCAGGAATTAGGAAGAGATTATTTTTTTTTAATCATTTGGTAGAAGGGAATCCAAAACTACTGATCACTGCTTGATTAATATATAGAAAAAGGTGAATTCTGAGGACTTTTTTTAAAAAAGATTTTATTTATTTGAGTGAGAGAAAGAGAGCATGAGTGGGGTAAGGGGCAGAGGGAAAAAGCAGACTCCTCACTAAGCAGGGAGCCCAATGTGGGGCTCAATCCTGGGACCCTGTGATCTTCGCCTGAGCCAAAGGCATTAGATACTCAACTGACTGAGCCAACCAGGCACCCTTCAGAAGATGTTTTAAATGACTAAAAGAAAGGACACTGGCACCACAATAAAAACTATTTTATTAGACGATTTATGTTTTAATTAGCTATGAATGAACAGAGGCAATGTGAGTGTCCAGTTCTGTTGAGAAATTCAAATAAAAAGAAAATGAGAGTGTAAGTATGAGGAGGTTGTTTCATAAAAACAAGGATTATGTGCAAGCTTGTACTATAAAATTTAAACACTCTTTAGTGTGTCACCTAGGTCCTCCGCATTTTCCCCACAATATTAGAGTCAGAGTGTCAGGAGCAGGCTACTGTATACTCCCACTGTATTTTTCAAGATCTAGTTAACCTTCATTTCTCAAGGGAAAAAGAAAGTCCTAAATTTCTACTTTGGAAATTTATTGCCAAGTACTCTGGATTTTACTACTTTGGTATCTCTTAAAGCTATCTACTGCTCTCAATCAGGACAGCGACAACCTTTGTTAAAACTTTCATAATTTTTCATCTGAACCCTCGCCACTCATACTCCACATTGCTGCCAGACTGATTTTACTAATTGGGTTGTATTATTTTCTGTTTAAAACTCTATTACCTATTAATAGACACTCTGTTACCTTGAGGTAAACTTCACATTCCTTAACATCTCATGTAAGAACTTTATGATCAGGTTCTTGGTCATCTGTACAACCTGAACTGTCACTATTCCATGTTCCATCTATGGATGGATGACCAATGTAGAATAACCTCCCCATCTTGTGGTCTTAGAGGATAGTTCCACTAAAAACCTTTGAGGTCATCCTGATCCAGTATCTGTAAATTAAGGGCACAAATGATACCACTTTTATGTATGTTTTATTGTTCAGTTATTTTGATGAAAAGCCAATTGCTGGTTCCATCTCAGGCAGTAGCAATTTCCTACTTTTGTCCTGCTAGAAATCATAGTCAAAGCAGAGAGATTTAGGAATGCCTGGGTGGCTCAGTTGGTTAAGCATCTGCCTTCGGCTCAGATCATGATCCTGGGGTCCTTGATCAAGCCCCAGGTCAGACTCCCTGCTCAGTGGGGAGCCTGCTTCTCCTTCTCCCTCTGCCCTGGACCTGTGCTTGCTCTCTCTCTCTACTGTTCTCTTTCCCTCTCAAATAAATAAATAAAAAATTTAAAAGTAAAGCAGATTTAATCTTAGGCTAGTTTGCTCATTGAAATTCTGTTTACTTGTAAGCAATATATATTTATTGAGCATTTGTGATGTGTCAGGCTCTGCACTAGGTGCTGGATATTAAATACAAAGATGATTTAGGGGTCACCTGGAAGGCTCAGCGGGTTAAGTGCCTGCCTTTGGCTCAGGTCATGATCCCAGAGTTCCGGGATTGAGCCCCATATCAGGCTCCCTGCTCAGTGGGGAATCTGTTTCTTCCTCTCCATCTGCCTCTTCCCCTCCTGCCCCTTGTTCACCCTTTCTCTCAAATAAATTAATAAAATCTTTATTATTTTTTAATAAAATCTTTAATAAAAAAAAGATGACTTAGGTCTTATCCTCAAAGAAATGATAGTCCTGTGAACAAGTGTATCACTTAGAGTTTTTGAGTCATTGTGTTAATGAATTAAAGATGGAATAGTAGATAGTCTTTGAGTTCTGACATATTTGAACAAGTCAGCCAACAAATACACGAACCATTTCTTTTCTGCTAATGAAGATACTTTCAGTAGGAGCTGGAGTTTGTGGAAGACATGACTTTATGGGTTGTTAACTACTAGACAATTTATCATTTTATTTCAATAGGATTTTCTTTTAAATGCCTTTACTGTGGCTCCTTTCTTTTTTGAGGTGGTTGACAACAGTACTGTAATATACCAGAATTATTGTCTAGAAATAATGTGTTTGAGATATATACACACAAAAATTCAGAGACCTCCTATTATAGATTCATCCTTAGATGTAACACTAATTTGATGCTTGATATCTTCTTTTCCCTGTCCATTGCTAGTTTGCAAGAAGTTATTTTTATTAGGAAATATCATTCCACATTGCTCCAGGTATGAACCAGAAGAAATTCACCATGCCTCACTGATAAGAACACAGAGGAAATAGTGTTAGTCACATTCAGGAGTGGACAGCACTGTTAGTTACTCTTCTTTGTTTTACAGAGATGAACGAAATCAGTCCATCATTGTAAGTGGAGAGTCTGGGGCAGGAAAAACAGTCTCAGCTAAGTATGCCATGAGATACTTTGCAACTGTAAGTGGTTCTGCCAGTGAAGCCAATGTTGAAGAAAAGGTCTTGGCCTCCAACCCCATCATGGAGGTAAGACAGCAGCAGCCATGGCCTTCTTAACTATATTCTCTTAAGAAACCTACTCAAAAAAAAAAACTGAAACAGTATATATTGTCAAAAGTCTGGGCTCTCCCAACCACTAAAAGTAAGAAAATACCTCTCCGCATATTAGTAAGAAGAGACCTGTGAAAAGTAGAAAGGCAGGAAGGTACACATTTGAGTAAAGCCCAGCTATGGAAGCATCTACTTAATTCCATAATCCTGCATTTTTAACCTACCACTGAATTGTCTCCAAATAACTGACAGTGGTACTTCATTTCTTAATTTCTATTCTCCCAGTTAATTGACTCACATCTATTATTCCTTATACTAGAAGTATGTTCCTCATTTCCCCCTAGTTCTGAGTTCATAGGATTCACTAAAGCATGATGAGTTTTATTATCCCTCTGCCCACATTTCATTTTCTATACTTAGTACAACCTGTTGAGCTGTAGGTTTCTATCTTTTTTTTTCCCAGATTTGAACTGTAGGCTTAAATCATGATCTTGTAAACATTTTTCTTCTTGTTTCTGTGGAGCACATCACACAGCTTTAGGTTAGAAAAAGGAATTCAGTAGCTATAAATTCCATGTGAAAGGAAGGACTATGAAAGGATGTCCTTTCAAAAGTAAAATATGTATACAAAGTGGAAATGTTTTTGTGAAAATTTGAGTACTTCAGGATTTGTAACTTGAGAATTATTTGTCTATTAACATGCTTTTAGAAAAGTCACATTTTTCTAAATAGTCCCGTTAAATGGAGAAAAGTAATTCTCATTAATAATGGAGAGAAATTATTTTGGAGAGGGAGAAACAAACCATTCTTATTAAAAATTCAAGTCAGCATTTTTTATTCCTGTGTTTTTCCTTTGTCAAGCCTTATTTGTCCCCCAAACACAGACGGAGTTTATAACTGGCCTGGTGCACCTGGGATACAAGTGGTTTTTGCAATAATCAGCCCAGAGGTAATTGTGCCTGGTTTGCAGTGCCGTGTGTGACACTTGAGAACAGAGTGTTGTGATCTGTTGCCTGCAGGGCTTCCCTCCAGAGCAGTAGGACTTCTGTTCTTGGGACCGAGAGGACAGGATTTGCTGGGGAAGTTAAGAGGCTGCCTGGGCTAGGTGCCCTGGAAAGAGAACTGGAGGTTTTCTAAAATAGCAGAGACTGGGGGAAACAGAGGTTTGTGCTAAAAAGAGTAGTCAACATTTTAAGCAAATATTAAGATTTTGAAACAATTCAACCTACAGATATAGTGCTGGAATCCAGTGTTAGCATTGGGGAAATCTAATCTGTACAGCCAGTTTGGGTTTTGGGTCAGAAAACAACAGGACTTGGCTTTGCTTCCTGCCATTAGATTGACTATTTTTGGTCACAACGACAAATTCTCTGTATTTGGCAATAGTTTAGTTAATTCTTAGTCCCTAATATTAGAATATTCCAGTCTAGGTTGTGATGGCATCAGGGAATCCCACCTCTTCTAACCCTGGACCATAGAATAATATAAGCCTGGAATGAACCTTATAGAATGTCTAGTAGAATATTTTATGACCTTACTATATTCTCATTCAAAAAATAACTACCTTGGTTTTTCTACAATACAGATTTTAGTTGCGTTCATAGGAGAGATTAAAATGGCCATTGATACTAGTTTTTAATATGTAGTTATAAGGAATTTACCTTATTTTCTAGGATAAACAAAAAAAGATAAAGGCATCAGTTGTGCTTAGCTACTCCCTTCTATATTGTTGTATAGTTTTTCTACAGGAATTTGGATTAAGAAAATTTGACAAAGAGAGAACTAATTTTCTTTTTTTTTTTTTAAAGATTTTATTTATTTGAGAGAGAGTGTGCATGAGCACTTTGGTGGGGGGCCGGGGGAGCACAAGGAGAGGGAGAAGCACACTCCCTGCTGAGCAAGGTATGGGGCTCCATCCCAGGACCTCGAGATCATGACCTGAGCCAAAGGTTACTGCCTAACCAACTGAGCCACCCAGGCACCCTGAGAACTAATTTTCAATAACCAAAAATGAGAGCATCCCAATTTGAAAGATTAAAATGGAATCAGGGAGGCACCTGGGTGGCTTTGTGGTTGAGCATCTGCTTTTGGCTCAGGTTGTGATCCTGAAGTCCTGGGATTAAGTTCCGGCATTAGGTTCCTCACTGGGAGCCTGCTTCTCCCTCTGCCTATGTTTCTTGTCTCTGCCTCTTTCTCTGTGTCTCTCATGAATAAATAAATAAAATCTTAAAAAAAATAGAATAGAATTGGGAACTGAAGAATGGTGACAAAGGGTTTGCAGTTATAGGAAGAAGACATGGATGAAATACTGAGTATGTGGCCTAGAATGTTTGTGACTTTAAACCTGCCTCAAGACTGTGTCTCTATATCAGAGTCCTTTACTGTATTGTCCAGAATGACATGTCTCGGTTTCCAGTGATCTGAAATTCCTCCCTAGATAATAAGCATCCTACATGGTTAACATCACAGCCTAGTAGTTAATGGAATCTATACACAATCCTTTAGAAAGCAAGATCCTCATCCTTAGCAAAGGCTCCTTTTGCAAAATATGAATGATGCACAGGTAAATGATTCTTTCTTGCTCATTTTATCATGTTTTCCTCTTCTCCTTTTCCTCTAGATTTTCATCCAAAGATGGGGACAGGGAAAGATTCTTGGGGCATAGTAGTTTTAATAGTTCTTTAATAACCATAGTTAAAGACTTTTATCTCCTTTTAGTAAAGAATAACTCACACAACACTTCACTGAAATCAATAGTAAAATTAAGACCACAAAACTTTTTTCATTAACAATAACTTGCTAATTGAAATGAAAATAGCATCAAGGGAGCCTGTTGTAAATACAGTACTTATAAGGCAGAGAGAGCAATTAGGGGGAATGGACAAAAAGTATTGTTTATGTGTAGAACCTTCTTTCCTTATCAGGTTCAAGGCTTATAATCATATAATTCTAGTTTTGAAAAGGAACCTAGAGCTTATCTATATTTTAAAAAATGTTTTATTTATTTATTCATGAGAGACACACAGAGAGAGGTAGAGACAGAGGCAGAGAGAGAAGCAGGCTCCATGCAGGGAGCATGATATGGGACTCAATCCCGGAACTTCAGGATCACGCCCTGAGCCAAAAGCAGATGCTCAACTGCTGAGCCACCCAAGCATCTGCCTAGAGTCATTTAAACTAATCAGTTTTCAATTGGAGGCACTGCTCCTCAGAGGATGAAATGTTGCCAAGATGGTAGGAGGGCCTGGTCTAATACCGAGGTATTTGCTCCTTCTACCACTCTTTGCTCTATATGTAAATACCTTTTACTCAAAGACAGAGAGGAGGGTCTGTTTCAACCCTGGCCTACTCACTGTTGCTTCTTACAGGGTGTAGTATTGTTTTGGCAGCTCAACCACTCTGACCTCCACTCTTGAGTAGATAGGAAAGGGGTGGCATATGGAAGTATGGAAGGTGGAATAGAGTCAGGGAGGAGAAGCTGTGGCCCCCCCCCTTTGCTAGCTTGCTTACTTGCTGGCAGGAAGGTACTCAGGACAATGCCTGATAAACCCTTGGTGACTATTACTGCCACAATTACTACATCTTTTTCCTCTGCTCTTTGACAGAATATTGTGTTGAAAGAAAACCTTGTACTTTAATTTTCTTTTCTAGATAAGAATAATTGGAATATATGGAGACTTTATGTTGTACTTTTTGTCATATCAAGAACGGGAATTGGGATGCCTGGGTGGTTCAGCGGTTAAGCATCTGCCTTCGGCCTGGGGTGTGATCCAGGAGACCTGGGATCGAGTCCCACATCAGGCTCCCTGCATGGAGCCTGCTTCTCCTTCTCCCTATGTCTCTGCCTCTTTCTCTCTCTCTCTCTCTCTCTCTCTCTGTCTCTCTCTCTGTCTCTCATGAATAAATAAATAAAATCTTAAAAAAAAAAGAACGGGAATATCTAAGTAAATGTATTGTTAAATTGTCTAAGGCTACATTACTCTTACTTTGCTGGGAGGATAGCTTTCTGTCATTCTTTCCGTTTAAAATGTTAATCTGAAATGTAGCAGTGTTCTCACTGCCAGAGCAAAATAGGACAATACCTGCCCTGTATTTCAGAGAATGAAATATACTTTCTTTGATCAGAGGATCTGATGAGTTGATTTTTTTGTGGCTGTGTTGTTATTGTTTTTCATCACTTATGTTTGCATATCTTTTTTTTTTTTTTTAACACTCCAGAGTATTTTCCTGTCTTTCTCTCTGCTATGGTTTCAATATAGTTCAATATACTAGTCCTAATTGTCTGGAGCTTTGCACAAGTAAATTATAGTAATCTTATGTATAATGTTTCATTAAACATTTAATACAATATATTATATGACTACTTGCTTCTCTACACCATGTTTTTTCTTTGCCTTGGAAGAAAAATTTCTAGATGGCTGTTACCTAAGTCAATAAGTAGTATATACATTATTTAATTTTTAAAAGTATATAAAAACTGTACCAGAAAGTTACATTCTCTGAAATCTATAGCAGGTGTTTTACAAGTTAGACACAGCTATCAAAATCCAAAGGCAAATTTTACTATGTCTGGTTTCTGAAAATGGCTTTGACCTGAGCGGTAACTTACTAAGATTCTGCTAATCCAACTGGGCCTTTGTTGTCACAGGATAAGATGATAGAAACTTCTAGCTAAAGAGATTCAACACCAAACAACATTTCCATAAAGACATTTATTTGTTTTAACCAGCTTATTTACATAAAACAGGCTGAGTTCTCAGGAAATGCAAACCCGAGTGTGTAACTAAGAGGGCTTATGCTTCGGCAGTCCTGTCCATTTCCTTTTTTATTGACCTGAATGAGCGTGTTCCAATACCATAAACACTGTGAAAATCTCCCAGCCACTGGGCTCAGATTTACTGTGTCTGAAGATAGTTTGTGTGAGAATAAGAAGGCAGATATGAACTATTAGTGGGTAACTGTGTGGTTGTACAGTGGGCAAAGCACACACTGGTGCCTGCAGGGGCAAGATTGGTTCTCTTCTTAAAAGAATCAGTTTTAAAGTGCTGTGTTACATTGTGTCCTTTCTCTCCCTGAACAGACTCTGTAAATGTCATGTCATGAACTGTACTTCTAAAATATTATTTTTTTCCCCTTCTTAGTCCATTGGAAATGCTAAGACAACCAGGAATGATAATAGCAGTCGTTTTGGGAAGTATATTGAAATTGGTTTTGATAAGAGATATCGAATCATTGGTGCCAATATGAGAACTTACCTTTTAGAGAAATCCAGAGTGGTATTCCAGGTAAGCCGGGCGGGTACACGTACATATTTGTGTTAGATTGCCATGTAATTCCAGAGCTCATGCTTGCTGGTATGTATTTTATTTACAGATACTCTTGAGCATATTATGACAGTATTGCTACAGACTGCATTTGGACAGAAATACGTAAACTGGTACCTGTCAGAGGCAGGGCAGTATCTATTAGACTAATAATCTATGGGAATGGGCACTGGTTTAGGTTTAATGATTTTGACTTTTTCCTGCAGATTGTCGTGGAAAAAACTTAGTTAAAAGAGGTGCTGTTTGTTTTTTTGAGATTGTATTTTTTTATTTATTTTAGAGAGTGTACATGAGTAGGGGGAGGGGCAGGAGAGAGAAAATGCCAAGCAGATTCAGTGCTGTGCACAGGCTGACATGAATCTCCATCCCACAACCCTGAGATCATGATCTGAGCCAAAACCAAGAGTCGGAGTCTAACTGACTGTGCCACCTAGGCAACCTAAGAGGTGTTACTAGTTTAGTCTTAACTCTCATATTTCCCAGTTGATAGGGAAGACATTGGGTCATGTGTTTCAGTGAGCTACAGTTTGAACTTAGTTACTTGTCTTCTTTTCTTCTTTCTCCTCTCTTAGAATCTTATTATTATTTAGATAGAATAATGTAATGAAGATAAATAGTCTCCTTTTCCAGACATAAGGTTCTGTTGAGCATCAAACCTGACCTTCAGGCCACACTGTTCTTTAGTCAACTAAATACACTGCAGAATTCAAGGATATGATTGGTGGAGTATAGGGATTCAGTTTTGTATAAACAATATTATTACAGTTGCATTTTTAAAGTATGTATGTGGAGAAAAGACTGTCAGAAAATACTGTTATGAAAAAAAATACTGTTATGTTAAAATTGTACATGATTTATTTTTTTTTAAGATTTTATTTATTTATTCATGAGAGACAGAGAGAGAGGCAGAAACATAGGCAGAAGGAGAAGCAGGCTCTATTGTAGGAAGCCTGATATGGGACTTGATCCCAGGACCCCAGGATCACGCCCTGAACTGAAGGCAGATACTCAACTGCTGAGCCACCCAGGTGTCCCAACATTTGTGGATCTCTTACAAACAACCACAGTAGATGATCTGATCTGACATATGGCAAAGATAGAATATTCTTTTTCATCTAAAGTGTTAGGAAGACCATGAACCTGAGTGGTACTGTGAGAAAATATTGAGTACAGGTTTATCCCCCTTTCCAGAAGTAGATTGGTCCTATGAAACCTTTTATAGGCTGAAATGGTATAAAGTGAGGAAAAACATACCATTAATTTATATGAGAAAGTTTCTGAGCATCCTCAGACCCCAAAAATAACCTCCCTTAGGTTTTTCTTATACCTTAGGATACATCTTGCTAACAGATGCTCACAGACACAGTTGAAAGCTATGGCAACTTGATGCGAAGATGTGGTCTCATGGTTGCTGTCGGGGGTGTCCTGCCTCTAGTGGCTTTCCGCAAAATAAACACTAAACACTATTTTTTGCTTTTCTTTAAAAAATACTCTCTGGATTTCTTTTGGTTAGCAAAACAGGTATTAATGTAAGCCTTTTGCTAGAATGACATGGTATAATGCAAACTTCAGAAAAGCAGGGGCGGGTAGCCAGGTGGCTCAGCCATTTAGCGCCGCCTTCAGCCTGGGGTGTGATCCTGGAGACCTGGGATCGAGTCCCATGTCAGGCTCCCTGCTTGGAGCCTGCTTCTCCCTCTGCCTTTGTCTCTGTCTCTCTCTCTCTCTCTCTCTGTGTCTCTCATGAATAAATAAATAAAATTAAAAAAAAAAAAGAAAAGCAGGGGATACCTGTATTTCAAAAACATGGTTTTAATTTTCCCCAAGGGTAATCATTTATGACAGTGGCATATATCAAGCTGTTCTTTACTTCAAAAGCATCATTATCAGATATTTTTTGTTGAATGTGACTAACAGGTACACATTCATATATATATTTGCACTTGGCTAATAAATCATAAGATGATAAACCTGTATTAGAAAATTTGGGAAGGGACAACTTCTTGCATCAAGATAATTAAATATTTATTTTATGGAGGTGCCTGAGTGGCTCAGTTGGTTAAGTGTCTGACTCTTGATTTCTGCTTAGGTCATGATCTCAGGGTTGTGGTATCCAACTCCAAGTCAGGCTTTTGCTCAGTGGGGAGTCTGCTTGCGATTTTTCTCCCTCTGCCCCTCCCCCTGCTTTTTTTCCTCTCTCTTTCTCAAATAAATAAATCTTTAAAAAATTATTTTACGATTGAATTTTCTGAGTTTTAGGTTAAAATGCTATAATTGAAAACTCTTCTTATTTCAAAGGCAGAAGAGGAGAGAAACTATCATATCTTCTATCAGCTTTGTGCTTCAGCAAAGTTACCTGAATTTAAAATGCTGCGATTAGGTATGAATATGGTATTAGATTTATCGTTCTGATACTGCTTTCTGTTAATTCCTGAGTTCATAAACCTATTAAAAAGGAGATTATCTCATCCTAAGATATTTATGAATAAAATGATAAGAAGTCTACAGTTGGCTTCATGATAACCTAGGGATGGGGACGGGGTGAATAGCTGCATACATGGAGCAAAATTGGCCATGAGTTGAGTTTAAGATGACTGATGAGTACTCAGGCAGTTGAACTCCAGACTCAGTGCACTTGACTATGCTATCACTGCCTCTACATTAGAGTGAACGTAAGGGTAGAAGCCAAGGCTTTTTCATAGACTGCAAATCTTTTATTTTCATTAATTGTAGGAAATGCAGATAACTTTAATTACACGAAGCAGGGTGGCAGTCCCGTGATCGAAGGAGTTGATGATACCAAGGAGATGGCACATACCAGGCAGGCGTGCACTTTGCTAGGTAACATAATTTTATTTTTGAGCTCTTATGAGCAGTAGTTCTCTGATTCAAACAATCTTTGGAATGTTGGCTCAGCTTTGTATTACTTGGTGAGTGTTGGGAGATTGAACGTTCATTCTTTATAAAACACCTTTGGACAGCAAATGAACATGATGTTTTATTTTGGGGTGATGGGAACTATTGTAAAATCAGTTTGTAGTAATGGTTGTACAACTAATCACTGAATTGTACTTAAATCAGGTGAATTTTATGGTGTGCAAATCATCCTTCAGTAAAGCTGTTTAAAACAAATTGGGGGTCTTAGGGGAGGTAGAACTAACTGTAATTTTTTTGTTTAAATTTTCACAAAATCTGAAACCTAAGGCTGAATGAAATGGGTTCCTGAACAAGCTCACATTTTGTAGGGTTTTGCTTTTTATTTTTGACTTTTGTTTTTTGTTTGTTTATTTGTTTTGGTCTTTTGTCGTTGGGAAATATGGTTGAGCTGGTGTAGTGACAAAACATTGTATTACATGTATATTTTTCCACTGTTTTAAGAATGGCTCAGATGTCACTGTCTAGTTTCTGAGATTTAAAAAATATGGAGTCTACATACAAGTAAATCAGTCTTTAGAACTGTAGTGTACAACTTTTAGTGGCGAATTATTTATTTTAACAACCTCAAAATATAAATAACTAAAAGCATGTGATGGTATTTTGATAAGTACTATGAGTTGAGTTAATTTAATTTAAAAGCATTGCTATATAGAGTATGGTCCAGGACCATAATGAAGCTTGCAAAAATTCAGAAACTTACGTTTTATCTCAGACCTACTGAATCAGAATCTGTATATTAACATGATCCACTGGTGATTCATTTGCACATTAAGTTTAAAAAATACTGCTATACTTCTAGGGCTAAATATATTTGTAAATAGAAAATTACAAATTTGAAAAGCCATAATTAGGAGATAGGAAAAACATTCATTATTAGATCAACTTTCAATTATCCTGTATATGATTACATGTTTGGAAGTAATTTTACTATTTTTACTTCCACATAATTATATCTAATATTCAGGAAATTCTTACCTTGTTGAAAAATGAAGCCAGATCTGATAAAACACCAGGGGCTGTACAGCTTTCTCATACTGCCTCGTCCTTTAGTTGCTGCTCCAATACTGCATTTCAGTATTCCCTCATCAGGCTGGGTATAACACGAGCCCAAACACTTCTAATCTTGCAAACTCTTTAATTTACACTTGGTCTGTAGTTAGAAGAAGTAATTAAAATAATCTGACTTAAAATAGCCTTATTGGGCGATAGCTTGCATTTGGAATAGAAAAAATAGAAAAGGTTATAATGTTAAGAAAATACTTAAATCCAGTGTATGATAATGATGATAATTTGTTTAGCATTTATTATGTGTCCCATAGTGTGCTAAGTATATTGCATGACTACATGCATTTTCTTATTAATGTTCATGGATGCCTTTGGAGACAGTCACTACTCTTCTCATATCTCAAAACTGAAACATAAAAGGGTGATGTTACCTAACCAGATGAGATGGCAGGTCAGAAGCAAAGCCAGCCCTTGAGCCCAGTTCTTGCATCCCATGCTCCCAATCACGATCCTGCCTTGTTTTATGTGTTCATGTCAACAAAGATGAATGTTGTTAACTATGGCATGTACCATCTACCATCTGCACATATGGCAATATTCAAGAGTTAACAACAGGTTTAAAATTGTCTCCTGTAATAGTTTGTAATCACTTGTTCATTTTTCTGTTGTTTCAGGAATTAGTGAGTCTTATCAGATGGGAATTTTCCGAATACTTGCTGGCATCCTTCACTTAGGCAATGTTGCATTTACATCTCGGGATTCAGATAGCTGCACAATACCTGTAAGTTAGAATGTGCTTAGTGTGATAGCTTGTATTTCAGTTTTGTTGATTCTTTAAGGAAGCAGTGTATTTGAAGTTTCTCTACTAACATTATCAGATAAATTATTCCAAGTAGAATCTTGAACTGAAGGTAAAAAATATGGATGCTAATCCCTGGTGCACAGTGATTGTGTGTGTTAGGGCTAAGAGAGAAGAGAGAACGTGGATACACATCTGGTCCATATGAACAGAGGTGGGAAGTATTCAATATGAAACTTGTATTGGGGCCATCTAGGGAGGAGGGTTCATTTGGCCCATGGCACAAGTACCAACTATTGAAAACTTTGTGTCTTCAGCTATGGAGTTGTAATATGGCTTAAAATTTATTGAAACAACTATTAGCAGTTGTTACTCCTGAGAAGAGGAACTAGATGGCTGGGGGCTTGGGTATCTTCACTAAGATTTGCGTATTCTTGCATGAATAGCGATAACTGCACACTGAGAATTAAAACCCAATTCCATATGAAATGTTTGTTTAAATTGTAACAAAACCTGGTAGTCTCAGATTGTCCTCATTGGGCATTTATGATTTGCAATATTTCCTGATCACCATCATCAAATATAAAAAGCACATGCATATGCATGCGCACACATATATACATACATATTATAGGTATTTTTAAACTTTATTAGAGTGGAAGAAGTTTTAATGTAATTCTTTTTCCATCCTGCTTCCTCAAGATTGTGATAGGAAAGTCTTAAGATTTGTTTCAAAAAAAAAAATAAGATTTATGTTTCATTCTTCAGATATCCAAGTTGATTTTTAGCAGATCTACATGTAGATTAATTTGTGACTGACTTAAATTTGTATAAATGAGATGTTAGTTTTGAAATGCACATTTCAGTCTCTGCCTGGATTCAGTCCCTACTTTACTGTTTAATCTGGGTGAATTACTTAGCTTCTCTGAACCTCACTTTCCTTGTCTGTAAAATGAGACTTTCTTTTCCAGCAATTTTCTTTTCTTTTCTTTTCTTTTCTTTTCTTTTCTTTTCTTTTCTTTTCTTTTCTTTTCTTTTCTTTTTGTTAATAATATTTATTTCGATTACATGTGAAATGACACTAATTTTGATATATTGGGATAATTTAATAAGTATAAACTTCTCTAATTATCATTATTTTAGTGTAATCCCCAAAATATTTTCACATATGGTCTTTACATTGTAATATTGTTTATTTCATCAGATTTGATCTTTAAGTTGTAATACTGTTGTTTATTTCGTCAAATTTCCTACCATTATTATTAAAGTGTAATTTTTATTCTGATTACCGTTTGTACCTTTACCCTTTGATCCACATGCTAGTCCCACCATTGTATTATGTGAGATGGGGATGTGTCAGGGTGGTCTGCAAATAAAATAACAACAGTGACAGCACAAACCAAAGCATTTCATTCCAACTCAACCATAGTGATAATACAGAGACCTCAATATTGCTCAGGCACCCATTCCAGAAAACTAGGACTCTACCTTTTCCCTTCCCTACTCTGTAGCCAACATTCCTACAATTCTGCCTATTAAATTACTCTTAAATTTGTTTCTTCCTCTGCACGTAAATTGCTACTATCTTGGCAAAACCCCTTGTTATCTATCCTGGAATTGCTGCAGTGTCCGTGGCTTGGGTCCCAAATTCCAATCCCCCTTGTCCTACTAGTTTTCAGATGTGGACCAACTCTTTTTTTGTTTTTTGTTTTTCTATTTATTTATTTATTTATTTAATTTTTTAAAAATTAATTTATTTTTTATTGGTGTTCATTTACCAACAAACAAAATAACACCCAGTGCTCAACCCGTCAAGTGCCCTCCTCAGTGCCCGTCACCCATTCACCCCCACCCCCCGCCCTCCTCCCCTTCTACCACCCCTAGTTCGTTTCCCAGAGTTAGGAGTCTTTATGTTCTGTCTCCCTTTCTGATATTTCCCACACATGTCTTCTCCCTTCCCTTCTATTCCCTTTCACTATTATTTATATTCCCCAAATGAATGAGAACATATAATGTTTGTCCTTCTCGATTGACTTATTTCACTCAGCATAATACCCTCCAGTTCCATCCACGTTGAAGCAAATGGTGGGTATTTGTCATTTCTAATGGCTGAGTAATATTCCATTGTATACATAAACCACATCTTCTTTATCCATTCATCTTTCGATGGACACCGAGGCACCTTCCACAGTTTGGCTATTGTGGCCATTGCTGCTATAAACATCGGGGTGCAGGTGTCCCGGCATTTCATTGCATCTGTATCTTTGGGGTAAATCCCCAACAGTGCAATTACTGGGTCATAGGGCAGGTCTGTTTTTAACTCTTTGAGGAACCTCCACACAGTTTTCCAGAGTGGCTGCAGCAGTTCACATTCCCACCAACAGTGTAAGAGGGTTCCCTTTTCTCCGCATCCTCTCCAACATTTGTGGTTTCCTGCCTTGTTAATTTTCCCCATTCTCACTGGTGTGAGGTGGTATCTCATTGTGGTTTTGATTTGTATTTCCCTGATGGCAAGTGATGCAGAGCATTTTCTCATGTGTGTGTTGGCCATGTCTATGTCTTCCTCTGTGAGATTTCTCTTCATGTCTTTTGCCCATTTCATGATTGGATTGTTTGTTTCTTTGCTGTTGAGTTTAATAAGTTCTTTATAGATTTTGGAAACTAGCCCTTTATCTGATAGGTCATTTGCAAATATCTTCTCCCATTCTGTAGGTTGCCTTTTAGTTTTGTTGACTGTATCCTTTGCTGTGCAAAAGCTTCTTATCTTGATGAAGTCCCAATAGTTCATTTTTGCTTTTCTTTTGCCTTCGTGGATGTATCTTGCAAGAAGTTGCTGTGGCTGAGTTCAAAAAGGGTGTTGCCTGTGTTCTCCTCTAGGATTTTGATGGAATCTTGTCTCACATTTAGATCTTTCATCCATTTTGAGTTTATCTTTGTGTATGGTGAAAGAGAGTGGTCTAGTTTCATTCTTCTGCATGTGGATGTCCAATTTTCCCAGCACCATTTATTGAAGAGACTGTGTTTCTTCCAATGGATCGTCTTTCCTCCTTTATCGAGTATTATTAGTTGACCATAAAGTTCAGGGTCCACTTCTGGGTTCTCTATTCTGTTCCATTGATCTGTGTGTTTGTCTGTTTTTGTGCCAGTACCACACTGTCTTGATGACCACAGCTTTGTAGTACAACCTGAAATCTGGCATTGTGATGCCCTCAGATATGGTTTTCTTTTTTAAAATTCCCCTGGCTATTCGGGGTCTTTTCTGATTCCACACAAATCTTAAAATAATTTGTTCTAACTCTCTGAAGAAAGTCCATGATATTTTGATAGCGATTGCATTAAACGTGTAAATTGCCCTGGGTAACATTGACATTTTCACAATATTAATTCTGCCAATCCATGAGCATGGAATATTTTTCCATCTCTTTGTGTCTTCCTCAATTTCTTTCAGAAGTGTTCTATAGTTTTTAGGGTTAGGTTTATTCCTAGGTATCTTATGCTTTTGGGTGCAATTGTAAATGGGATTGACTCCTTAATTTCTCTTTCTTCAGTATCAGTGTATAGAAATGCCACTGATTTCTGGGCATTGATTTTGTATCCTGCCACGCTACCAAATTGCTGTATGAGTTTTAGCAATCTTGGGGTGGAGGCTTTTGGGTTTTCTATGTAGAGTATCATGTCATCGGCGAAGAGGGAGAGTTTGACTTCTTTGCCAATTTGAATGCCTTTAATGTCTTTTTGTTGTCTGATTGCTGAGGCTAGGACTTCCAGTACTATGTTGAATAGCAGTGGTGAGAGTGGACATCTCTGTCTTGTTCCTGATCTTAGGGGAAAGGCTCCCAGTGCTTCCCCATTGAGAATGATATTTGCTGTGGGCTTTTCGTAGATGGCTTTTAAGATGTTGAGGAATGTTCCCTCTATCCCTACACTCTGAAGAGTTTTGATCAGGAATGGATGCTGTATTTTGTCAAATGCTTTCTCTGCATCTAATGAGAGGATCATATGGTTCTTGGTTTTTCTCTTGCTGATATGATGAATCACATTGATTGTTTTACGAGTGTTGAACCAGCTTGTGTCCCAGGGATAAATCCTACTTGGTCATGGTGAGTAATTTTCTTAATGTATTGTTGGATCCGATTGGCTAGTATCTTGTTGAGAATTTTTGCATCCATGTTCATCAGGGATATTCGTCTGTAATTCTCCTTTTTGGTGGGGTCTTTGTCTGGTTTTGGAATTAAGGTGATGCTGGCCTCATAGAACGAATTTGGAAGTACTCCATCTCTTTCCAAACAGCTTTAGTAGAATAGGTATAGTTTCTTCTTTAAACGTTTGATAGAATTTCCTTGGGAAGCCATCTGGCCCTGGACTTTTGTGTCTTGGGAGGTTTTTGATGACTGCTTCAATTTCCTCCCTGGTTATTGGCCTGTTCAGGTTTTCTATTTCTTCCTGTTCCAGTTTTGGTAGTCTGTGGCTTTCCAGGAATGCGTCCATTTCTTCTAGATTGCCTAATTTATTGGCGTATAGCTGTTCATAATATGTTTTTAAAATCGTTTGTATTTCCTTGGTGTTGGTAGTGATGTCTCTTTTCTCATTCATGATTTTATTAATTTGAGTCTTCTCTCTCTTTTTAATAAGGCTGGCTAATGGTTTATCTATCTTATTAATTCTTTCAAAGAACCAACTCCTGGTTCTGTTGATCTGTTCCACAGTTCTTCTGGTCTCGATTTCGTTGAGTTCTGCTCGAATCTTTATTAACTCTCTTCTTCTGCTGGGTGTAGGATCTATTTGCTGTTTTTTCTCTAGCTCCTTTATGTGTAAGGTTAGCTTTTGTATTTGAGTTCTTGCCAGTGTTTGAATGGATGCTTGTATTGCAGTGTATTTCCCCCTTAGGACTGCTTTTGCTGCATCCCAAAGATTTTGAACGGTTGTATCTTCATTCTCATTAGTTTCCATGAATCTTTTTAATTCTTCTTTAATTTCCTGGT